AATACTAACATTCTCAATGGATAATCTCCCAGACTTTCCTGCTACATGAGCCTGACAGCAGCTGTCCACATATTATATCAGCTCTTGGGATTTGCTCGATGTATAGAATGCACTGTTTTCGACTGCGTTTTTGGAGGGAGGGGAAATGGGTGGTTGCGGGTGGAGGTCAGAGGACAACATTGCATTCGATATAGCATGTTATTACACTGGGAGGTCTTCTCAAAGCGCTTCACATTTTTATATGGGGGAATGTTGGCCAGGACACTGGGAGCAAATCCCTTCTTGTTTCGATTAGTGCCGTAGGATCTTTAATGTCCACCTGAACAGGTAAACTAGACCCACATTTTAAGATCTCACCCAAAAGACTATACCTCCAGTAATGCAGCCCTGCCCCAAAACTGCATTAGTAACGTCAGCCTCGATTGTGAGTTCAAAGTCCTCATTTGGAGCTTGAACCAACAACCTTCTAACCCAGAGATAATAGTGCTACCACCTGAGCTAGGAAAACACAAGGTTGTATACGCAGAAATACACAGATTGACTGATGTCTAAATCTGTATTAACATGTAGAACTGAAAGATGTCACACACACTATGGGGTCCATTCATGGATAATAATAATAATCCTTGCATTTGATATAGTCCCAAGCACGTCATTGAGACATCTCAAAGCGCTACACAGAATATACTGTAGAGTGAACTGGTCATATATTTTGTGGGCGCAACCGATAGTATCCTTCGCAGACATCAGTCTTGAACAAATCATCTGTTTAAGACTTCGGAAAATGAATCACAAAGATTTCCTTCTAGATAAGACACTGACAATATCTGATGAAATATTGAAGAGGCGATTCAATAAAAAGGGAAGAAAAACTTTACATTGAAGGTATCACCACTTAACAGCAGCAACAACAAATGACATTTGTATAGCGCCCTTCACGTCAAAAAGACGTCTCAAGGCGCTGGACACTGATTCAGGTTTTTTTTGGACCCAAGCTGGGAGTTGGGGTCAGGAGGGGATGGAGGCCAGGGAGGGTGGGAGTTGGAGGGACCCACTGCAGTAACGCTCTCTCATCGGATAACACTCACCTCTGCCAAATAACCAGCAGAATATCGACTTTTATTATACAAATGTAGAAATCTGCAGGAAGTTAAGCAGCATCTGAAAAAGGTAGATTCATGTTTTAGGCTCAAATTTTCTTCCGTCTGTTTCTTTTACCTGCAAACTTTTGTTTCTGATCAGCAACTTGAAATCTTTCGCGTTAAGGGTTAAAGGTTAAAGTCTTGCGATAACACTGAATACTGTACACATTTCATTTTAGATACAGATTTACTGGTTTTAGATACAGATTTACTCTGAATACTCTGTCTGGTTCTCATTCTTTCTCTCTCTTTCCCCAAATTCACACTGGACTCACATCATAGTCAGACATTTCCTCCTGACATATTTTCTTACAAAAATATGTAGAAGTTTGTTCGCCTACAAAATACACAGTCAATACATCACAGCAAGATCTCTTGATGTGAAAGAAGCTATAACAAATGCAAGAATTATTAAGGGATTTTTTTCCTGCATTTTCCTGGATCTTCTCTGCGTTTTGCTACAGATAAAATGAATTTAAAATACTGCGTTTAGATGATTTCCTAAATGGGAAGAAATACGATTGTGAATGCCTTTAGTCAAGCAAGGCAGAATTGTCACTATTGAATTATGTGACACTCAGTCAGTAATACTCATTAGAAATTGAACGCTTGAACACTTCACTGCAAAGTGAAAAAGCTGAAGTTGATGTCATATGATGAGCAAACAACAATAATATTCTTACATTTTATAGAAACTGACAGCATGGACAGAGGCCATTCGGCCCATTGTGCCTGTGTGGGCTCTTTAATAAGAGCTATCCAACTAGTCCCACTCTCCAGCTCTTACCCCATACCCCTGCAATTTTTTTTTCCTTTTCAGGTACATATCTAATTCCCTTTCGAAAGCTACAGTTCTATCGAAGCTGCTTCCACCGCCCTTTCATATCACACTTTTTACGTCAGGACTTCTCAAGAGGATCTGCAAAAGCTGAAATACAGGTTTTTCTTTTAGCTGCAAAACTACAGAACATGTCAGTGCCTCGCCCTATCTGAGCTTCCATTGGTCAGTGGCCAATCCTTCAGTTCCTGAACCTCTCGTCTCTGGAACTCTCTGCAACCACATAGCACAGTGCGTGCACCATCTGTTTATGTATTCAGTGCCTTCAGTTTTGGCCTTTGCAGTTCTGGTGATTTACAGCTGGTTACTTGCTCATCACCTCCAACACATGCCATATTCTGACAGTGACTGAACTTACTTGCATCTTTCACGCGCACACACAAAACCACACATCCAAATACCAAGTGATTGATTTCTCCAGAGGAGCAGGTCGTAAATTAATGAATCATACCATTTGTCTGAATCAATCCAACTTTTGATTCTAACATTCCATTCACGGAATGAGGTCAGTCGATTAACCTTCGGCGTCTCTGCGACGGCTGTCAATGTGCTTAACCCCTGATCAGAAAGCCGCCAGCTTTAGCACAGACACCGGTTTGCAGCATTGATGCACTCAAGCAAATCACGTTTCCATTCGGGTGTGTGAACGCCTGCGATTTTTGTGAGACGTTTTTAATCTCTCTTAAACAGTGATGACAAATGATAATCGTCGCATTCAATAATAGGGCCTTTATCAACTCACAACTCTGCACAGGATTTACTGTAAAGTGTAGTGACTTTTTTGGTAGGGGTTCGCGACAGACAATTTGCGCACATCCTCTCTTTCGTTGCATAACCGGCGAATTAGTGCTTCACATGAAGGCAGTAGAGTAAGGATTATTATAATACTTCTCCAGCACAAAACCAATCCTGTTCACATCATGGATTTTTAATAAGAGGTCACAAGAAGTTATTAGCAAAAGTGAAAGCATGTTGAATCGGAGGTAACCTTGCGACGTGGCTTGGTAATTGGTTGGGAGGCAGGAAACAGAGAGTTGGGATAAAGGGAACGTTCTCTGATTGGCAGGATGTGACCAGTGGTGTTCCCCGGGGGTCTTTATTGAGGCCTCAGCTTTTCACCTTATATAGAAATATATGTATACATATAAATAAATGATTTGGATTAAGGAATAGTTTTATATCCAAATTTGCAAATGACATAAAGTTACGAGGCACAGTCAATTTTTGGAGATGGGATCAGGAAGTTACAAAGGGATTTAGATAGATTGAGTGAGTGGGCAAAACTGTGGCAAATGGAATTCAATGTGGGAAAGTTTGAGGTCATCCACTATGGATCCCAAAATAGCAAAACAGAATATTTTCTAAACTAAGAACTGTGGAGGAGCAAAGGGATTTGGGTGTCTATGTACACAAATCACTAAAAACAAGCTCACAGGTGCAAAAAGCTATGAAAAAGACTGATGGGATGGGATGTTGGCTTTTATATCAAGCGCAGATTCACCAGGTATCCGGCCTGAAGGGTTAAATTACGAGGACAGGTTGCATGAACTTGGTCTGTATTCCCTTGAGTTTGGAAGCTTGAGGGGTGATCGAATTGAAGATTTTAAATTAATAAAGGGATTTGATCGGTTAGCTGGAGAAACTATTGCCTCTGGTGGGAGAATCCAGAACAAGGGCTATAATCTTAAAATTAGAGCTCAGCCCTTTAAGAGTGAAATCAGGAAACATTTTTTCACCCAAAGGGTAGTGGAAATCTGGAACTCTCTTCCCCCAAAAGGCTATGGATGATGGATCCATTCAAATTTTCAAGACTGAGGTGGATAGATATTTGTTCGGTCGGGGTATCAAAGGATAGGGCGGGTAATTGGAGTTGAGGTACAGATCAGCCATGATCTTGTAGAATGGCGGAACAGGCTCGAGGGACTGAATGGTCTACTCCTGTTCCTACGTTCCATGTCTCAATGACTCAGCTCTGACTCTTTGCTGTGGTTTTACCAAATGAGCCACTGAGGAGCCAGGAACCAGGTTATATAGCAGCAGTTAAAGGGAACCCAACATAACATTGTATAGATCAAAATGTCAAGGGTTAAATCCATAGTGTGTGCTCTGTGTGCTGGCTCCAGTGTGTGTGTGTGTGGGCTGCAGTGTGCACTGTGTGTGTGTGTGGGGCTGCAGTGTGTGTGTGTGTGGGGGTGGGGGGGGGCTGCTGTGTGTGTGTGTGTGGGCTGCAGTGTGCACTGTGTGTGTGTGTGTGGGCTACAGTGTGTGTGTGTGTGGGGGGGGCTGCAGTGTGTGTGTGTGTTTGTGTGTGTGTGTGGGCTGCAGTGTGTGTGTGTGTGTGGGGCTGCAGTGTGTGTGTGTGTGTGTGTGTGACACTGTTATCTGCAGTGTGTGTGTGTGTGTGTGTGCTATCTGCAGTGTGTGTGTGTGTGTGTGTGGGCTGCAGTGTGTGTGTGTGTGTGTGTGGGCTGCAGTGTGTGTGTGTGTGTGTGGGGCTGCAGTGTGTGTGTGTGTGTGTGGGCTGCAGTGTGTGTGTGTGTGTGTGTGGGCTGCAGTGTGTGTGTGTGTGTGTGGGGTTGCAGTGTGTGTGTGTGTGTGGGGCTGCAGTGTGTGTGTGTGTGTGTGGGGTTGCAGTGTGTGTGTGTGTGTGGGGCTGCAGTGTGTGTGTGTGTGTGTGTGGGCTGCAGTGTGTGTGTGTGTGTGTGGGCTGCAGTGTGTGTGTGTGTGTGTGTGGGCTGCAGTGTGTGTGTGTGTGTGTGTGTGGGCTGCAGTGTGTGTGTGTGTGTGTGGGCTGCAGTGTGTGTGTGTGTGTGTGGGGCTGCAGTGTGTGTGTGTGTGTGTGGGGTTGCAGTGTGTGTGTGTGTGTGGGGCTGCAGTGTGTGTGTGTGTGGGGCTGCAGTGTGTGTGTGTGGCTGCAGTGTGTGTGAGTGCGTGGGGCTGCAGTGTGTGTGTGTGCTGGTTGCAGTGTGTGTGTGTGTGCGTGTGCTGTGTGTGTGTGTGTGCGCGTGTTGTGTGCTTACCCCGCACCATGCACCACCACTGCTCTCTTGCCTTCCTGGCAGAGCCGACTGATGAGTGCGGCTGCTCTGCGCAGTTCCCCGACTCTCAGGGTTTCCAGCTCATCTTTCACAGTCACTGCACTGCCTCCCAGCTTCACCACACAGTCAAGAGCCATGGTTAGACCAAAAAAAAATACACCAGACGTCATTTCCTCCTCACCAGCCCTCTTCCCCAACAACGAAAATCAATGAGTTTTCAGCAGACAGTAAAGAAAAGTTTCTTCGAACGTTTATTCGAAAGATTTTTTTATATATATATATACAAAAAAAAGTTTTTCAGGTGTAAATCAGAGCATTATTTGTTCCTGGCTAAATTTTTCTTCCAACCCCCCCCCATTCAGTCCCCCCCCTCCCCCCCTCCACCCCCTCTCTCTTTCCTCCAATTTTGTTTTAATTTCGAATGGATCTCTGCTTCTTGGATTATGATTATGATTGTGAATTGATGGAGCAAATATTTTTGGTGTATGTGTGTGTGGGTGCGTGCGTGTGTGCGTGTGAAATCTGCCCAGGACTAAGACTGATCATTATCTCGCACTACAAGATAAATAAGTCACCACTAAATAATTCGAGAGCTCCAAGACGCCTTCTGGCGTGAAGCTATACACATGTCAGTTGTTGTCGTAACTCCTGGGTGCGCATATACCCGCAGCAATAACAAGATCATAAAACAGAGCAAACAGCAGCAATAATAATCATAAGCCCTGCGTTTGATATGGCGCCTTTTACGTGACGAGTAGGTATTAAAGCGCTTCACAGGATTTTACTCTAAAGTGCAGTGACTGTGTATTTTGTAGGTGAACAGGGCAGTTAGTTGGCACACAGCAATGTCCCCTAGATTAAATCTAGACCTGGAATTTGTAGTAAAAAATAGTAAGATTGATTTGGAGGCTTGGATGGAAAAAAAACATAGTGAGGAGCACAGTAGTAAAGTACTGTATCATAATCAAACAAGGCGGTAGTCATCAAATAATAATAATAATATTCCTTGCATTTGATGTAGCGCCTTATCACGTCTTCGAAACGTCTCAAGGCAGTTCACAGAATATACTGTAAGTGAATTGATTGTTCATATCTTTCAGTCATGGAGAGCTTTCTTTTTAATTTTTTGTACTATAAATAATATTTCAAAAGGCCAAAATATCCGTACTTAAAAAAACAATCATTACAACCTAACACCAAGCAAATTAATACAACAACAACTTGTATTTGTGGCAGATCTCATGGCGGATAATAATGCGTTGCCACATTCCGTGTGACATCTTCCATAATATGGATGGATGAGGGGGTGAAATGCATCTCTAACAGTTCGCTTCAGCTCCACCGTAGTTTCATATCACTGTTTTGTAACAGGGGGTAAGTAGACTTTGTGGACATCTTGCATGTCTTTGTCACAAGTGGACTATTTACGTGTTTTAAATTATAGCAAAGCAACTAAATAAAACATTATAACTTAATTACAATAAGCACATTCTGAAACGTTATAACCTCCAAAAGACTAAAACACTAAATCCATTGTGCAATCAACACACTTTTAGTTTTATTTCCCCTCAAAAAAAANCAATTCTGTTTATATACACAGTTACCTATCTTCATTAGGTAAAATGCTGAAGTATATAAAAATATACATTTTGTTGTTATTGGAAAGTTGAAAAACATTCATTTTTAATTTGCGATTTGTTTTTGCAATAAGCAAAATACATTATAAAAATAAATTGGTCTCCACTCTAAGATCGTTGTCATACATTACTTTACAAAAGTTTTCTATTTATTCTCCATCATTGATACAGCTCTTTTGTTGCTCATGAAAAACACGTTGAATTGAAAATCTGTTAGATTCTCGCTAACCAAGATAGGAAATGCATTATTATGAAACTCCTGGAAGTAATCGATACTGTTCTGCAACTCCAATTTCTTACTGGCAAATGCTCTTGTTCTACATGGCAATGCTAACTGTGCTAACTCCAACTACCTAAATCACCTGTGGTTTCCCTTTGTAGGGGCAGAAATTCTGGGGTTATAGAATTAGACTTTTGACTTATTATTTCGCAGTGCGCAAATTTTGAAATTTTTTTAAAATCCAGCCGTGATTTTGAAACTGGTTTTGTACAGAAAAGTGGCTTCAGAATTAAGGCTGAATCACCAATATTGCAACGATTGTGCCATACATGAAAAAGTGCATCAGGAAGGACAGTGCAATTGGCTTGAGTTACCTGGGTTTGGGTCATCATGCTCTCAACAACCTCCACCTAACACTCTCCAAAATAAGGTAACCAAGATGCATACCCCAGGGAAAGAGTGAATATTTCTGTTCCAGACATGGGGAAATTTTGATGTGCAAGTGCTATAAATATGTATAACTCTCAGTCTGGCTTGGATACTCTTAAGCACAGTGATGGATTTCTGCACGTCTCAGACACTCGAGCAACCAAAAAATAAATCCGGTCAAGGCACATTCATGAATGGCTGTGGCTACCAGAGTGCATGTAGTGTCTGTTGAACAGGTTACCCATCAGGAGAGGGAAAAATGAGTAAAACCTTCTCAGGAGATGAGAGGAATCCAATTGATCTAGTTTGTGGTCGGTCCGAGTCTCTCAATAGGCTTTCTGAGTCTCCCCATTTGGAAATGCACTTGAAATGATACAGGAGGCAAATGGACAGCAAAATATTTTTTTCAATTTCCCCCAATACACGGAGCATTATTTAAAATTATATGGCAGGAGGGATGGCTATAAAGGTACTACAAATGGTGCTCTTAACATGCTGTCAATTAATAGAATTGTAATTTAAAACAAAAATACTTGAAGCCCGAATTAGATTTACAATTTCAAAGACGAGAGAATTATCTGTTAAAGGTTCTGGGTGTTGCTTGAGGTGCACGGACTAACCAAGTAGCAAGGACGTTCTTTCAGGGTTGAGGCACTTTACTTGGGCACTTTGTGATGAATGTTGCACTCAAGGCAAAGTAAGAAGAAGGTGTCAGTTCTACTGCTGAACTCAAAGAAGGACAGTGGGTTTGTTCTCCCAATGGCGTGAGAAAATTGCTGTTTAAAACAATCAAATCCAATTTTGGGGGGAAGTGTATGTCCTGGGTTTTATTTTATGAATCTAAATACGGAGAAAAAAATTAAATAGAGGGGCCTGCATTTTAGTATTTTTGCTCAAAGGCTTAAATGCCGAAAAATAACTTATCAGGCCCCGAATAGAGCTAGCGAGGCTCAAAATTCTGTATGGCAGAAATTGGAAGCTTAGTAAAAGAGATTGTAATCTGATGGTCAAGTGCAGCCAAGGGCTTTCGACTGAAATCAGGCAGAAGACAACAAATTGAACTGAAATCAACAACAGCAACAGCAACTTGCACTTGTATAGCACCCTTCACCCGAGGTAGCGACGCACCGGGCAAAGTGGAAGGGGGATGTCATTTATTTTTCACGCGGAGCAGAGTCTGATTGAGAAATCAGGGAGCAACTAGATGAATCGTCCAAATCCGTGTCCAAGAGTTACCGAGTCTGATGCTGAGGGTCGAGGTGTGTGCCCAAGGCTTGCACCCAGCCCTTTGAAATGTACCAGGATGAAACTCTGTGAATAGTAAAATGGTACAATTTTTTAAATATTTGACTCATTGACGATAATTCCCTCCCACCCCCACCGAAACTCTATGTTCGTTTCAGTCATCTTCTCGTAATGTTATTTAAATGCTCAGAAAGCACAGAAAGCACCTTGGAGCTAGGCGCTATTCACTCCGGAAGCTGGGGACGAATTTGGCATCCTTGACAAATTGCTTTCGTAGAGACATAACGTGCTGTGCAAAAATTCATATTGTTCACTTGTCTGGATCATCCCACCCCTGAAAGACAAGCAGATACATTTAGATGTTTATTAACCAACATAAGTTTGATACAGGGACACAAGAACCTGGCAGCTGAAGGTTAGCAACAAATAATAATCATAATAATCCTTGCATTTGATACAGTGGCTTATCACATCATTAAGATGTCTCAAAGGGCTTTGCGTGGTTTACAGCAGAGTATGCATGCCCCTGGCAGCACGCCCCTGCCACTGTATTGGAATGCCAGTCCAGTTACTTTGGGCGCTAGTGCAGTCTCGATGGGCCAAATTGGCTTTCTGCATTGTACATTTATATGACACGTTGCGTTGCAGGCGGCTGTTTATATTTTGAAGCTGTGGCACCAGGCAAAGCGGAAGGGCATCTAATTTATTTTCCACGTAACTGTGGTACACCTGAATTGAATGGCTTGATAACGAGAATGGGAATATTCTCAATGCTCTCATCTGTGCGGCGACGAGAGAAACTAACGCAGAATAGACTTTTCAGGAATGTTAACAGCATTAGGATCACGAGCACAAACCTGTCTGTTCGCATCTGACAGACGATCCCCAGGATGTCCACTTTATCAGTGTCTTTGATCTGCTGGCACCCAATACTGGTAGCGACAAAGCAGCCCGTCCTCCCAATCCCTGCACTGAATCACAAATGGTTTCTTTTTACTGTTTAAGCTCTCGTGCGGCAGGAAGAATTTACAAATCAGAACAGATTAATGGGAAATATTGAACCACAATTTGCATTTATATGGTGCCCTTCATGCAAGGCAGCGTCTCAGAGCACTTAACAGTGGGGGGGAGCCTGACGCAAGGTCACAAGATTGGTCCAGATAGAGAAGGCCATTTGGCTCATCTGATCCCTTCTGTCCAGAACACCCACCTTTACCGTACCCCATCATAGTAACAAGTTGCTTTTTAAATGCTTCTCAGTGTCCTGGCCTTCCCCCATCCATTCTGGCAACCTGATGGAGTTGCTATTACCCTCTGAGCAAAGAAAACCTTCCTTGAAATGTCCCTTGACAACTCTAAACCTGTGCCCTCTTGTCATGCTGTTGTGGTTCATCCAGGGGAGAGGCTAAGGCAAGGATAAGGGCACAGCACCTGTAAACAAGTCAGCTTAGGAGCCCAGTGACTGTCCAGGTCTGTTTTGAGTTATTTCTCCAAAACGTGATATCGAACATTTATTAATTAAAAGAGTTTATTGTTACTGCAATAATGTCTAGATCTCAGCATCTCTTTCCTCAATCTCCAAAACAGGCTACAATACTGTACTAAATGCTACAATTCAGATCCCATTGATACGATCCTCCTTTTTCTTTCCTTTGCACCTGCACATCATTCGTGTGGCAACGCCGTTGTGTAGTCAAAACATGACGGTATAGTTTAATCGTCTTGTCATTTTGATTGAAAGGCACAAAACTGTCTGGTTTTATTCCCTCGCTGGGTGCCAACAACGCCTCTTTAATATGGAAATATCATTCTGAACAATGTTTCGTTTTGCAGTAAATAATATTTCAGTGAGTCATATCTCATGTTAGATATTTTGTGTAAAAATGCCAATACATGTTCAATGCATATTAAATGAAGAGCTTGAAAATGTTCATCTTAGAAACATCTAATGCTGCCAACAACATTGAAGTCTGTGACTACTCACTATTTTGGACAGGCTTGTTGTCATTAGCAGTTGAAAATAATCCTTACCTTTGGTACAGAACCTTTCATGTTAGGAGGACATTTCAAAAGGCTTCTCAATATATACTGTGATGTGCAGTGACTGTGTGTTTTGTGGGTTGAACGCAGCAGCCAATTTGCACACAGCGATGTGCCACAAACAGCCATGAATTGAATGACTAATTTTATCTGGGGTACTGTTGGCCAGGACACCAAGAGAAACTCTCTTCTCAAACAGTGCCATGGGATTCTATAAAATCCACCTGAACAGGCCTTGGTTTAACATCTCATCTGAAGGATGGCATCTCCAACAATGCGGCACATGCCAGGCTTGCATTGGACTGTCATCCTAGACTTTCCAAGTACATTTCTGCGCATTGAATTTCTACAGTTCAATGTGGCTTCTCACCTGCAGTGCACGACGACAGGTCCCCTGTTTCCTGCAGTCTTCCTGCTTTCTTCCACCTCCAACACAAGGTCCAGGAGAGATTGTGCAGTGTCTGGAGTCTGGTGGTCTGGCCATGAAGAGAACCAGTAGTGCTTGACACTTCGAGACTCTTCTGCATGCTGGAGAGAAGTACACCACGTTACCACCTGCTTCACAAAAGCTCCCTGTTGAAAACCATGGAGATAATCCCTGGCCCCACACAGTGTATTTTATACCCCCCCTTCCATTATAAAGTGATGCTTTGAATCCGTAATATTAAACTCTGTGTTATAATGGATCAACAAAAGAAATGGTCACCGCTGATGTCATTCTGGGTTCCTGCGTGGCCTACCTAGTGCATAAGTCACTCAGTCTGTAACCATAAGTGTACAGAACTTCCTGTAACTGTGGGTCTGCAGAATTTAGACAGAAGCACACAGTTCCTGAGCCAGGTGGGACTGTGGTATTCCAGGGCACTGTGGATCTGTGGTACCAGCATCTGGAAGGGCAGACCAGTCATTGGGGGCAGGGAGTCATCCCACTCAACTCCTGTTAATCCTGCAAACCAAAGCCCTAACGGGTCGGGTGATCCTAGCTGGACAAGCAGCGGGAAAACTTGCATATCAAGTTTATAATAATAATATCAATGGCAAACTTTGCGGTTTTAGCTGGTCAGACTCCAGCGGTTATCCCAACACACACTCTGGGATCCCAAAGCCTTGGTTCTTGCCAACGTGCGCTTAAAACTTTCCGGAATTAAGTAAGCAGGATCAGAAGGCTAGTGTCCCTCCAGGGATAGACTTCCAACAATCTATCTCTGGGATTCCCATGTGTAGGTGGGATGTATGGAAACCTCAACTTGGTTTGGATGCTCTTAAGCACATGTGTCAGACACCCGGCTGACCAAAACAAATGGATCTGCAGGTTAGCCACTAGGTGGCGCTCTCATTTTCTTAAAAATGTTATACAATTCCGATCCTGCTTTGCAAAAATGTTTTGAACCTATGACTGTCATAAGTGTGGTACACTGCTGGTCTACTTCCTGCGCTAATAAAGGCTGACTTCCAGGTCACCACTGACATCACTTCCAGTATGATGTCCGCAATATGCAGGAAACCCCGTTGACATGACGTCACGAAGGAAGTGACATCAGGATCGCTGTTCGCATACACCGTGGACCAACACAGCAAGGGGAGGGGCTGATTTCATGGACAAGTCCCACCGTGTGATGACGAGGTCACTCTCTACGCAGGAATGAACGTTCCAGATGGAAACAACGACAGCAACAAATTGCATTTATATAGCGCCTTTCACGTCAGGAGTAGGTCCCACGACACCAGACAGTTAAGGTTTTGCAACCGAGCCGGCGGTTGCCATTAAGAGGGGTGGACGGCAGAGGGAATTAAGAGGGATGGGTGTGGGAAGATGACCGAAGGCACAGTCAAAGAGGAAGGTCTTGAGATGGGACTTGAAGGAGGCAAGGGAGGGGAAGAGGCTGGGATGGAGTTCGGGGTGGGGAGCGGGGTGCGGGGGCAGAAAGGCTGAAGACCCGCCTGCTGATGGTGGGGCGATGGAAACCCCAGGATCTGGTTATTTTAGACTCTGATCCTGGAATATATTATATAAAGATGCGAAAACATTGACATATATGGTGCTCCCATGCTACACTCCAGTTCAACACATCAGTATGCTTTAGGGGGTGTGCTTGGAATAGCTGCCGTGACATCAAAGTGCCAGAGTGATTTATTCCCAAACTCATTTCTATTTCTGTTTGATGTGTTTGGAAATGAAAATTCAAGACGATTAATGATACCGTGTCTGTCACTACTTTCCTTTCATCTTCGGAGGCCGTGGAAGTTGAAAGACTGTTTTAAAAGGAAAGGCTGCAGTAAAAGTCCAAATGGATCCAGCATTTAAATAAAATGCAAACAAATGTATCAGAGTGTCTGAAGAAGTATAGCAATTAGATCACCCGTTCTCAGCTCTGGTGTGTTCACTGTCAAGCACTTGGAGACACTTCTTAAGGGCTATGAAACGCTACCCTGTGTGAATGATGCCATATAAATGCAAGTTGTTGTTTTCGTCCTGATGTGAAAGCTGCTAGTATAAATTGTATTGTATTATAATAATAAATGATAATAATATATAATATTGATTACAGCCCCCATTAGATGGGTGTATATTACCACAATTACATTTTACACAATAATAATCCTTGCATTTGGCATAGCGCCTTTCATGTCGGGAAACACCTCAAAGTGCTTCACAGGATTAGCTGTAAAGTGTAGTGACCGAGTGTTTTTGTAGGCGAATGCAGCAAATAATTTGCACACAGCAATGCCACACAAACAGCCAAGAAGTGAGTAACTGGTTTTATTTGTGGGTTTGTTGGTTAGGACACCAGAAGAAACCAGCTTCTGCTTTCGAAACTTGCCAAGGGATGTTTAACATGCACCTGAACTGGAAGACATGGCCTCAGTTCAATGTCTCATGCAAATATGAATCACATTTACCCAGAGATCAGATTTTTATGATTTTTGAGTGCCTGCCATGATTTATTCTGTCTGTAACTAATGAGGCGTTCACAGCATATGCTGGTATCAAAATATGATCTGTGTAGATTCTGTGGCTGTACATGCCCTGGAGTGCCGTGGTATTGTAAATGAAGAGTCACTATGCTTAACAGTATTTACCATGAGCTCAAAGTCCTTCAACCTACTATCTTCTGACTCAGAGGCAAGAGTGCTACCATTTGAGTCAGACTGACACCTAAAACTGTGCTCATTCACTGGTAAGAGGAAATGACATTTGTGCCGTACCTTAACACTAAGATCCCGAATGGCCAATCCATCACATTCTTTGACTTCATTCACAACAACTTCAAACCTGCCGAAAGAGCTTTGCTTTTCCGGCCAGTAAACCACACATTTCTGGAAATAAGAAAAGAGCTTATTTTGTAAAATGCTAGTTAATCTCTTTAAACCGTGAAGCTTCGCGAATGGGCATAATGAAAGCAAAAGCAAAAATATAGTCAATCCCATCAGTGTGAATATTTTCACTCGTAGGAATATACATATGGAAAATACAATACAATATAATGACCTTGTTACTTCTTTCCTTACATCATGGATTCCACGACCTAATCACACAAATAAATGTTGTTACTGTTTTCACCTACAATCGAATAAGGCAGCTATCAAATGACAGTACCTCATTCTTCTCCTTTAATTTTGTTATCATCACAATCATTGGACAATCCTCTTGCCAAACCATCTCCCAGAAGTCATTGACTGTGTTCACCATGGGTCCCTGGGTAGCAATGTATGCCTTCTCCTCCCCTCCATAGCCCTGCAGGAAAGAGGTGAAGGAAAATGATCATAAGCACATGTCGATCCCGTTATTCAGGATTCCACTGAAAAGTCTACTACTGTGGAATACTGTGTGCAGTTCTGTCACCGCAATATAAAAAAGATTTGGCAGCAATTGAGAGGATACAGAGGAGAGCAACCAAATTGATTGAGGGGATGGAAGGACTGGATTATGAGGAGCGATTAGGTAAACTGGGCATTTTCGCACTGGAGAAGAGAAGGTTGACGGCGATATGATTACGGTCTTTATGATTCTAAATAATAATAATAATAATAATAATCCTTGCATTTGATATAGCGCTTTTCACGTCGGGAGGACGTCCCAAAGCGCTTCACAGAACACTGTAAAGTGAATTGACTGTACATTTGTGGGCGAACGCGGCAGCCAATTGCGCACAGCAATGTCCCACAAACAGTCGTAGATTGAAAATGACCAATTTATTATTGGTTTTTTTGGTTTTGGAGGGATTATTATTAGGCGTGTGGAGTAAGGAAACTTGCCCAAGGTTTCGCCCTGCCTGGAATTGAACTCAGGTCTCTCACTTGCAAAGCAAGTGCTCTAACCACTGAGCTACAGGACCTAAAGGGACTAGATAACATAGACCATAATAAGCTGCATTCTCTTGTACTGTACAACCAGAGGACATGGCCTGCGATTCAAGGTGGGAGATTCAGAACAAATCTGCGGAAACACTACTTCAGTGAGTGTGTAGCAAACCTATTGAACAGGCTCCCCAGGGAGACAGTGGAAGCAGAACATGTTGGATAGATTTCGGCTGTAAAATAATATCTCGGGAATCAACATTGGGACACGACATGTCAAGGATGGTGGAAGGTGAACTAGATGGATCTTGGTCTTCTTTTGCCTAGCAAATTCTTATGTTCTTATGTTCTTAACCTGGCTAGTAAGAGGCAGAAACTAGGTTGTACAGCAACAACAACAGCAAAATTACATTTGTATAGCACCTTTCACATCGGGATGACATCCCAAGGCGCTGGACAATCAGTGTTCCAGACTCGAGTTGGGGTTCGGGATCGGGGAGGGTGAACGGCAGGGGGGAAGGCACGGTCGAAGAGGAGGGATGTGGGGGATGTGAAGCAGGCCAGGGCCCACTGAGCACAGGGAGCGGGCACATTAGTAGGAGGTTAGGAGGCCTCAGAAGTAGTGGAGCGCAAGGCCATGGAGGGCTTTGAAGGTGAGGATCAGGATCTTGAACTGTATCCTCCATGTGATGGAAAGCCAGTGGAGTTCAGACGAGGATGGGGGTGATAGGGTTGCGGAACCTGATGCAGGAGAGGACACGGGCTGCAGAGTTCTGGATGATCTGCAACCTATGGAGGTAGGAATTGGAGAGGCTGACAAGCAGGGAGTTTGCGTAGTCGAGTCTGAATGTTTTGAGTGTACGTATAAGTGTTTCGGCTCGTGGTGTGAGACAGTGGAGAAGCCGGGCGTTGTTGCAGAGGTGGGGGAAGGCACGGATGTTGGGTAGAAAGGATAGTTGAGGGTCAAACAAGACCCCAAGGTTCCGGACTGGCTTAGTAAGGTAAAGTGTGCAACCCTGGATGGTGATGCTGTCAGTATCTGAGGTGTAAAGCGCTGACGGGAGCCAATCAGAAGGGCTTCGGTCTTGTTAACGTTCAACTGTAGAAAGTTAGCTCTCCACTAGACACTCTGTCAGGACAGCAGTGGTCCTGGAGTTAATGGTAGAGGAGGAGAGGTATACAGTTGGGTGTCATCTGCATACATGTGAAAATTGACCCCATGTCTGCGGATGATGTCACCAAAAGGGAGCACATAGATATTGAATAAGAGAAGACCAAGGACAGATCCCTGAGGAACACCGCAGGGGCTAGAGGACAAGCCATTATGGAGATGAACTGGTTACGGTGTGAGAGGTACAATGTGAACCATTCAAGGACAAAACCATGAGGGTTGAGGTGAGAGGAGAGGCGGTGGAGGAGGAGAGAGTGGTCAACGGTTCAGCTGCAACATAAACATAGAACCTGCAACACAAACAAGGCAGTGCTGTATCAGAGAGTGCTATGATGGTGTTCGCCATTGGAAAGAAAGAAAAAACATTCTTACCCGAATATAGTTAGCATTAATATAGGAGCTCAGGTCATCGCTATGCTTTTCCGACTTGAGGCAGACACGAGTCTGTGGGTCTAAAGAAGATTAATACAATTTTTTTTAAATCCTGGAAACTCTCAACATTGCAGTAACATTACTATTTAACCACCATCAGAAACATCAGTGAGGAGTCCCAGTCGGTGCAGTCGACTATAACACAACCCTTTATCTCCAAGTCCCAGCATTTAAACAAGAAAAGGTAAAGATCCAGCAACATTGTACCATTCTCAACAGCGTTAATTCATTGAAAGCAAAGACACCAATTGTTATTTTCAGTTCAGGTTGCCTGGTCTGGGAAAAGCCACTGGTTGACATTATTGTCGGAGATCGGCTCTGTGAATGTGGACTGTACAATGTAATCATACAGTGAAAAAGAGTGCGATTAAATAAGTTTAGATCTGTAATTGATAACAGGATGGCTGATGGCCGAGGTACAAACCAAACAGCCATCGATTTCAATAGGTGATCTGACTTCTGTAATCAAAGATCCTGGCAAGTGATAGTGTAATGCTACAACCTAAATATTTCCAATTGACAATTATTTCTACAGTTCTACAGTATACGAATATTACTTTCGGTCAATGTTAGCAACCCCTTTTATCATTCACACCAGAATTACAATCAAACTCACGTCTGAACAAATATTTCAACATGCTATATATGTCCCACTTTTGTTTGTACTGAAATACAGTGCTTGGAAACTGACTGTATCATGTATAAACGATAGTGAAGTGTGTGTTTTAGTTGGAATGCATCACATGATCCAGAGGTAAGGGGTCAGAGATAAAATTGGGAAGTGAAAAAGCAAAGTTGGGCTAAATGTTACACAAGTTACACAAATTCTTAAACTCAGCCTCGATTCTGAAGCGCTTTTCTGTAAGTTCTTTTAAGACTTCAAAGTTAAGGTTGATTTCAATAAAAAATAAAATATGATGAACAAACAGAGGCAGAAAGTTTAAGGTTCTGCACAGAACCACAGTATATAAAAAGAATAATAACTGTCTGTGCAGCAAGCAGTAATAATAATAATCTTTGCATTTGATATAGAGCCTTATCACGTCTTCAAGATGTCTCAAAGTGCTTCGCAGAATATACTGTAAAGCGAATTGACTGTATATTTTATGGGCAAATATATAAGGAGCTCTAGGTTACTGATGTCAGGTCAGGGTTAGAATTCGGATCAACGACTCTTCATGGATGAATAGTTTGCCGACACTCAGTGTCTTCTGAACAGAAGGGGATGGGAGAAAATTTACAAAGAGAAATTGGGAAGAGAGAGTAATAATAAGAATGCAGAACACTGTACATCAGTTTGAATGCAATTATGATTGTTCAACCTTTGGAATAATCAGTCAGATAGGCTCAGTTGCCTGTTGTTCAGATAGCACTATTGCCTGTTGTTCAGATAGTTTGAATACAGTGTCGGGGATTGCTCATGAGTCCTGGCCAACAATCCCCCAGTTAAATTTCACACTAATATTATTAATATTCAATTTAAGCAACAACTTACTTGGTAAAATAGTTTTGTATCTGTTCTTAGAAGCGTGCCCTGGGATATTCAGTTCATTGGTCTCAATAAAGTTTGGTGGAATTTTCTAAAAGTGGGAGAAAAGGACATGTCAAGAAGTTCTGAGTTGTGACATGAAAGACGGCACTTCTGACGTTGCAGAGCTCCCCCAGAACTGCACTGGACTGGAGTGTCAGCCTGGACACTACGATTCTCACATCTCTGGATATAACAGTCCAGCTGTTGCATTTATTTTTAAAAAGGTTGGAGTTATTTGCGACAGAAGGAAATGATTTATCTAATCGTATCGCAACACAAACAAATGAATAGGAAGCACAATCATCATTTCTCTGACTTCTTATGGTAGAGCTCTTAAGGGGAAACATTTTGGGTGAAGTACTTTTACCTATTTGCAGTATCTTTCTCTGAAATTCACACAGAACCAATCTGAGATGTACCACAATGTAACAAAAAGAGTGTGAGATCAAACTTAGGTGTTATTTCTTTCTAAGAAACAGTGGGACATTTCTGGGCAATCTGCAGGACCCACCCCCAATGCAGCACACCCACAGCACTGCACTGGAGTGTCGTCTCAGGCTACATGAGTTCCAAGTTCTGATGTGTGGCTCAAACCCACAACCTTCTGTCTCAGAGGCAAGAGTCCTTCTAATTGAGCCAGCCTGACACACAATGCTAGTGATGTGGTGCTTCTGTTATGATTACGGTTCACTATCAAATATGTCTGGAATTGAATTCTACTACTTTAAGTGACAGATCGTCCATAATAATAATAATAGACCTTAATTTATAGCACTGCACCCACTACCACTTCCTGCCTATTGCCTGCTGTGCACCCTGCCCTCCCTGAAAACTTGTTTCCTCCATTACTATACAAATAGACATATACCTAATACTCTTGGCCAAAAAGCTCCCCTGTGCTCTTTTCTTTTGTTCCTCAATTTTCTTCTGTTTCACAAACTCACAAGTGTGTTCACAACTCTGCAATCCTGCAAGAGTTCCTCCTTAATAGCTGAGAATAGGATCTGCGGCTCAACTGGCCTTTTTCTTCTCCCTTTCACTTGAGATTTGAATACTGGTTTCTCAGGCACAGGAAACTCGTGTTAAGCCTAAACCGGGAAGATTCATCGCTTTGGCCTGATCTCACAGCATTACACCTCTGTTTATACACATCAACATTTTTGCTAAACTTAGTGAGAGGAAGAATGTCAGGCCTAAAGAGAGATAAATACTCCCAGCAACTAGACCAGTACCATAATATAATCAGCGCCCACACTGGTATCCTTTGTACAACTCAGTTACCGATGTTCTAAAATATGTCTGACATCATTCCATTTGTATTTATTTAAGACCACTCATATCCAACAGGGCACCAATGTGTCCTCTATTTATATCCTTGCAGTATGGAAGAAAGTAAAATACTAAATGATGTTTATCATACATATGGAAAAAGGGTATTAAAATAATCTAAGTATCCAACCGTGCCCAAACATAACGTAGAAAGGTATTTAGCATGTTATTTTCACCTACAAATACACAGTCACTCCACTTTACAGTAAAATTCCATGAAGCTCTTTGAGACAACGTGTTAAGGCCTTGTATCAAATGCAACCGTTGTTATTTGAGAAGCTTTTCTTCAAAGAAAATGTTGATCACTTGCCCATTCTATACACTATAGAAGCTGTCAGTGTGGTTCAGTTGGTCACACTCTTGCTCTGAGTCGGAAGGTTGTGGGTTCAATGTGCCAATTTGAACCCAGCAATGTCCTACAACCAGCCATGAAATAAAAGGTCAATTTTATCTGGAGGATTGTTGTCAGGATACGGGGAGAAATGCCATTATCGTTTCAAGTAGTGCCATGGGAACGTTTATCTGAATTATCTGAATAGGCAAATATATCTTGGTTTAATATCTCACCCAATGGATACTATCTCTCACAATGTGGTGTACTTCATTACACAGGACTGCTTGAGTGTCCTCCTAGACTTTTAAGTTCAAAGTGGCTCAAACCCACAACTATCTGAATCAAGATGAGAATGCTATCAATTGAATGAGGCTGCCATCCTTAAGTCTGAAGCCAAGGGAGAAAGCTCAGGGAAATTCCATTTCAGACATGCATTAAACCCTTTTTTTACATTTATTTACAGTCAATGTCATTTCCAGCAAAAAAAATTAATGATGCTCATCACAACACAGCATTGCAATGCAATGGGCAACCATAACTGATCTTTCAGTAAGTCATCATTATAGCGATCAGCGGCATTGCATTAAATAAATAAATAAGTAGATAAATAGATAATTTAATAGATAAATAGATAAATAAATAGATAAAATAGATAAATAAATAGATAAACAGATAAACAGATAAATAGATAAATAGATAAATAGATAATTTAATAGATAATTTAATAGATAAATAAATAAATAAGATGCAATCATTTTAGTAATTTGATTAAAAAATATTTTACCGAGAATTCAGCTTCCAGCTTCTGCGTGTTGTTTGTGATTTCCTTTAACTGTTCTCTGGACAGAACAGAGCTGGTGGTTTTTAGATATTGTAAAGTCAATTCTCGGGGTGTAGAAACTGATTTGATGGGTTCTACGTTTCCCAAGGAGCTCACATCCAGAGTCAGGGATACATTGGAGCCTCTCCTAAATGTTACCCAAGGGGAAAGAAAGGAGAGAAAATGAATTATTGTGTTGAAGTTTTTAATTGTTCACGCAAAACCCTGAGGACACAAAAGGGATCAGGGCACACAAGGCATTTGGGTTAAACTAATGATGAAATAATCCTTTCGTTTTGATATAGGGCCTTATCAAGTCTTCAAGACTTCTCAAAGTGCTTCACAGAATATACTGCAAAGTGAATTTGATTGTATATTTTGTGGACGAAATACAGCAGCCAATTGTGCACAGCAGTGCACCACAAACTTTCGTGGATTGATCTGAACAATTTTTTTTTAAGGGATTATTACTTCCGGAAAAGCCATCAGCCAATCGAGTAACAACCGGGTTCTTACTTACTGCTAGGTAAACAGAGGGTGCGGAGTAAGGAAACGTGCCCAACACATAGATATAGAGGTAGAAATATATTCTACCTTACATTGTTGCACATTAACAATAATAATAATTAACCTTGCATTTTGTATGACTCCTTTCACAGCAGGAAGACGTCGTAAAGTGCTTCACAGTGACTTTGTATTTGTAGATGAATGCGGCAGCCCATTTGCACATAGCAACGTTTCAGAAACATCCATGAAACAAATGAACAATTTCTTTTTCTTTTAGTGGGTGGGGGCAAGGGAAATAATTTTGGCCCAGGACACTGAAAGATGGAACACCCTTCACGGCAAGTGTGTAAGCAATCTGAAAAGACAGGCATCAGATGTACCCATTTCACACCACATTGTGATGGATCATTGTTAGTGTCAATGCTGATGGTAAAAACTATTCCACTTATTCTTCGTTTTCAAATTTATTTGTTTTTTTGTCCCCAAGACATCTAAGCACTTGTTATTATTAGCAAATTGTTTACTTGATGCCCAGGCAAAATTAGGACAATATTCTCCTTAGGTCCAAAACATGAACAAATAATAATAATCCTTGCATTTCACATATCTCCTTATCATGTCATTGAGAAGTCTCAAAGCGCTTCACAGGATATACTGTAAAGTGGATTGACTGTGTAATTTGTGGATGAAATACGGAAGCCAATTGCACACCGCAGTGTCACACAAACAGTTGTGGAGTGAGTGACCAATTTTATTTGAGGAATAGTGCCATGGGATCTTTAACGTCCAGCTGAACAGACATAAAGGACCTGCCTTCTAAAGATGGCACAACCAACAATGCAACACATCTCCAGTACTGCACTGGAGTGTCAGCTTAGACCATGTAATTCCAAGTCCCGATGTGGGGCTTGAACCCACAATCTTTAGACTCACACTGCGGCAGGCTGACACATATATAGAGGAAGTTGTTACCGGATGCCAGTTAAGCATTGTTTATCCTCATTGTACAGTATTACAGTGATAAGACTGTTGTCTCAACCACTCTGAGAGGATGTGGTGACTCCATTATTTGCCTCCTGTAAATAGATTGCTGGTGGTTAGTTTGACCAATCGCTACTACACTTGTTTGACAGAGGCAAGAATCGGACAGGTCAGATCTGTAAAAGAACGAACCTTCATTTTATCAGGCCAAAATGAAGCAAAAGGCTTCAGAGTTATGTAATGGCAAGTGAAATGACTGCTCCTGTAGGCAAAAAAATGTTTCATCTGAAGGACGGCACCTCAAAAGCCCATGAGGTGAATGACCAATTCATCTGGAGTTCTGTTGGCTGGAATGCTGGGACAAACACCTTATTGAGCTCTTGACCTTGGCTGCCTCCACTGATTTCACAGTCCCTGCTAACTTGAAGTCATCTGCAAGTGTAACTACCATAGACATGCTCAGGTCATTGATATACATTCCCCAATAATGCAGCACTCTTGCCCAAGACCTGGCCTGGTGTGTCAGGCTAGTCTATGTGACCCTGAGGTGAAAGCTTCTTAAAGAGAGACAAGCTGCCAGGTTGAGGATACGAGTTGCATTTACATTCTACACTGGACTTCACTGGTGTTTTGAAAGTAATTAATTCTTGGGGGTGTTGGGATGGGGGAGAGAGGAAACTTATACAAATGTTTCTTTTTCTTTTAAAAAAAAGAGGAAACTGAAAGTCTGCATCATATCCTTGTGAACGTCATTTGAGACAACCAATAATACTGATAGAGAGAATGAGCAAAGGTTTTTATTTGATCTTTTCAGTATGTAGGAACTAAAAATAATCTTGCGGTCTCTTGTCAGATGTCGCTCATTCATTCTGAAAGATGCAATTTGACATCCCATTCACTAAAATCTATGGCACAATCTGCAGAAATGTTACTTATGAACATTGACTGGTCCGCTAGTTTTAGGAATAGTCATTTACAACCCTAAGTCACCAGCTTTGGGAAGTTTTGAATAATTCTTTGTCCTTTGAGAAATCAGCAGAGTAAGAACCTTTGGTGAACAGCATAATTCAAGCAGTAACTTATAGCTCTCTGAGTAAGAGCCAGACAATCGGTACAGTCATTTTGTGCTGTGTGAGTGCACCTACTTGGGAACTGGTTTAAGGGAGCGTTAAGTCATTTCACTTTGAATCTTAATAGTCAGCTAAAAGATGAGACTTTCATACCGTTAGGGCAATAAGATAGCAGGGAAAGAAAATCGAGTTAACGCAGAATTACTGAGCAACATTAAGAAGATTATCACTTATGCATCCAATTGCTGCAATGGTCAATGCTCATGGATATTTGTACAATATTTGGCCATGAAATATGCACCATGTCTTAAATAATGAACGTAATATGTGTTAATTTGGCCTTTACCTGGGGCACTAAATCCATTACATTGTTTTCTCTCTCTTTGAGTAGGTGGTAGTTATAAACTCAACAGCTGCCAAGCAAGTAGTAACCAAGCCTATTTCTAATGAATGATATTCATGTGCCTGCAACATCTGTGAATATTGAAAACCAGGGACAGACTTTGGGTTTGTGCAGGATTAATTTTGGAGGCAGGTCCAGTTCTTGACTCTTGGGTGTCCAAAGATTATATGCAAGATCACAAGACAGTAACAACTTGCATTTTTACATAGCGCCTTCACATGGGTAGGGTTTTGGAACACTAACATTGTAAGAGATGTCCTAACGAAAAAGGACCTTTCAGCAGTTTTAGTAATGGACATTGCAGCTGAGGACAAACCTGTACCCACCCAACAAAATCTATCTATATATAGATATATGTATATATATATATATATATACATGATAACTGTGTGGTAGATCACAAGAGCATTTTGGGTTCAACTACCCTTCCTGGCCATTTGTTCCTTCTGGGTAAAGCAAATCCTAGTTTCCATCCTGAACTTGCTCTTTGCAACCTTGAACTTGTGTCTTCTTGTCCTTATGTCTCGGTGCATATGAAATTATTGTTTCTGAGTTTACTTTTTCTATCCAATTTAAAATGGTATGCACCATTTCCACTGAATGGTACCAGAACTATTTCCATTGTCAAACACTTTGCGGTAAGAAGCCCAAACCACATACCAGCAGCATTATTATTATTTTTTTTGCCACAAAACAATATTGCAGCAAATGTTTGTAACCATTGCAATGCAATGTAGTGCAGCTAATTTGCCAGGAATTCAATCCCCCCAATCAAAAGCATGGCTAGGGTGACGTTTTCATAGTGAGAGGAGAGTGCAAGCAAGTCAGAGAAACTCAAGGATGAAGCTCAAGAGACGAGGGACAGAATAAATATACTACAAACAGCCATGAAACGAATGACCAGTTGTTGTTTGGAGGATTCTTGGCCAGGATACCTTGGGAAACTACCTTCTCTTTCTGAATAGTGCCATGGGTTCCTTGACATGCATCTGAACAGGCAAATAGTTTAACGTCTCATCTGAAGGATGGCCCCGACAACATTGTGGCACTTCCCCAGCACTTGATATTCCCTTGGTATTTGAGCATCATCTTCGACTTTGAAAGGCCAGAAATGGAGCTTGAACCAACAACTTTCTGACTCAGAGGCAAGAGTGCTACCAACTGAGCTGAATAATAACAGGGGAGAGATTTCACTTGGGTCCAGATTTATGCTATTTCTGGGGCATTTCAGAGCATCCGGAATTCGGCGACTTGTTAAACTTAAATTCAAGCTTAACTTTGAAGTCAATTTTTCAGTTCTTGAAAGAACTTAGAAGAAAACCACTTCAAAAGTAAGGTTGCATTTCAGAATTTGCTACAGAAACGGAATAAATCTGGCCCCGAATGAAATCTCTCCCCATGAGTCTCTGAAGCTTGGGTTCAGTTTCCTTTTGTGGAACTTCTGAACAGAACTTGGAACACTGTGTTGCGCAGTGCTAATCGCTAATCTGTGTGCAGACTGGTGTAGAACAGACATGTCAAGGGGTGTTTCAACATTTCTAAGCTTATTGGTGCAACAACAACACCAAATTACATTCGTTTAGCGCCTTTCACGTCAGGAGGAAGTCCCAAGGCACTGGGATCCGCAACTGAGCTGGTGGTTGGTATCCAGAGGAGTGGAGAGGTGGGAGGGGAGGAATAGGAGGGTGACTGAAGGCATAGTCGAAGAGGAGGGTCTTGAGGTGGGTCTTGAAGGAGGCAAGAGAGGGGACGAGGCAGAATAAACACTTTCAAAAGTCCAATAAAAGTGCTGGAAATTAGCTTTCGATTGGGGAAAGATACGTTGATGCTTTGGGAGTGAGCCTTCGTCAGTGCCCCGTGTAAATTCTGAACCAGTCTCTACAAGCATGTCAGAACTCAGCCGCCCTGAACTTGTGGAAGGAGATTCTAGTCAACCCCCTTCCCAGGGGAGTGCCTTTCTCCTGCAGAGACCTAACAAACAAAGAAGGAAACTGTGTTCTGATATAAGGTTCTACCTTTTAACGCTAATTTATTGTTTTTAATTTCTGACCTTAATTACCAGTTTCTGTTTCATTTCCAATTTTCAGCATTTGATGTATTTTATTTTTATCTCTTTAAGCACTGCTTTGGTAATGATTATCAGTGAGTGATGCTCGGAATCTGATGAGAATAGCTCACTGATGAGTA